GCCGCTGTCGTTTGAACAGACGACAAAAAGCAGACAAGCTTGAAAGAGCAGACGACAGTTCAAACGCATGCGCAATGGAGTGTGGGCAAGAAGGACCGCGACCCGCGTCAACAGATCATTGTAATGTCACGTTGTCGGCATCTGTTTGAGTCTGCGCACTCTTTTTCGAGTTGGAATTGTCGATTCTATGTCCTCATAGCAATGTCTTACTTTAGTCACCTGAGAGAAATTATCAAGACTCGTTACGCCGCTAAACTTTGCGGGCGTTATCGTAGATCGTTTTCGCCGTCCCGCAACGCCCTCTGCAACCCGCTACGATACCCAGAACTCTACAGTCAAGGCCATGGGCGTGCAGGCGCAGTAGCAACTTCTTCGTTGCATAGGGCTTAGCGGAGGGGGAAACGCGGTCTACGAAAACTCCCTAATAATAGTTTCACGTTGCGGCGGCTCATTCGCGTGAACGCCGCAGAATGGACGCCAAAACCATGATGAGATTCTTCTAGCTATTTTCGGTCGCGACGCCGCTCGTGCTGCAAAAGTGTACACGGTAGGGGCGATGACCGACGTTGATACTGAAAATCGGAAGCAAAACAGCCCAAGTAAATCGGGCATAGCAAGTTGGCTATGGCCACTCGTACAATGATCAACACCGTGTATCTACTGCTTACACCGAGCTTACTTAGCTCTTTTGAGACCTACAGGTACTTCTTATCGCAATTACCGGTTAAAATTTTGGTCCACGGGCCGCTTTTGTTTCAACGAGCAGACGAGTCTGAAAGAGCAGACGACAGTTCGAGCGATCAAGCGGCCGTTTGAATTTGAAGATACACTGAACCCACCGGTGGTCCGGACAACTTGGCGGTTTTCCCTCGTTTATGTTGGAACAAAACAAATACATCTGGCGACCACATATATCTGTAAATTCAACCCGAACTGTTGCCCGCATAAGCAATTGCAGCTCGACAGCGTCTACTTTGCCCTTTTCCCAGCCCCTATCCACGTTCTTGGACGAAGCGACCAGGCAGAAAACACACGAAAGCTGACCTTCAAGCCTTTCCCAACTTTTGGTACAGCCCCCGTCGCGGCGTTTCGACGAGAAGGCAGGTTTTTTGTCTGGTTTCTTCCAAAAGAACACAAGAATGCATCTTCCGCCCACCGCCAGAGACTGGGAAGTGCGACCGACGCGCCAGCACTGCGGCATGACGTAGGAGAGTTGGGATGTCGCTCGAAAGGGCAATGTTCCTGTTTCTGGGACTAAAAAGCATAGCTTTAGTTTTGTCTTTATTTATTGTTAGATTATTTAATGTAGACTAAGCCTCCGGAGCATTCTCACAGTGTCGTTTGCTACGTGTACAATATCGCTGCAATTCCGAGGCGATATAAAAATACTGGTATCATCAGTATGAATGATAAATCTAGCTTTTTGTGCAATATTAACGATGCCCTTTATGTATATATTAAAAAGAAGGGGACCAAATAAACTTCCTTAGGGTACCCCCGATTTTTTTTAGGTTTTAAATCGGACCCCTGCTATAGACATATCGAGGCCTGTTTTCTAGATATGACTTAATAAGTAGTGCCGCATGCCCTCTAATACCGTAAATATAAAGTTTCTGAAGAAGCAAATTATAGTTAATAAAGTCAAATGCCTTAGGTAAATTCATAAATATATCTAACACTACATTTTTATCTTCGAATTTACGTAAAATAAATTCTTTTTGGTCCAACAAACCTAGTTCCGCGGAACGTCTTTTTCTAAACCCGAACTGGGATTCCTTAAGAATGTTAAGTTTTTCTGTGAATGGTGGTAAGAGGACTAAAGATAATTTTCTCTAAACCTTTTGAAAAAACTGGAAGGAGAGACACGGGCCTATAGTTATTTATGTTATTTCTGTAACCTATTTTATGAAGTACAACCACTTTTGGTATTTGCATTTTTGTAGGGAATTGGCTGTCCCCATGCTAAGATTAAAAATCTGCAAGACACCGACTAACGGTGTCTAGAACATATAGAATTGGCCGTATTTGTATATCATCAGCGTCGCATGCTATTACTAACAGTTACGTTATGAAATACTCCTATTACCTTGTTTTCAGTTACAGAATTTATACAGGTAGTTTCCCCAATGTTTCGCTTTATATAACCACAAACTTCGGTTGTATCTGAGGTTCCTACTAAATTTACAAAAAAAAGTCATTAGAGCGTTTGCAAGAGAGCTACCAGTAAGTGTCACGTTGTTATTAATTGTAAACTCAATATTTTATTGCGTTTCATTCCGGTGTAACTCTGAATTAAGTTTTCGCCACAGCCGGTCAGTACGATTTGATGTCACACTGAAATAATTGTGGTAATAAAGAACTCTTCGTTTCTTCAATTCCTTGTTCAAGCTACTTCTGTACTTCTTGAAAAGATTTTAAGTTTATTTGGGTCTTTTGCTCTAATAAAATTTGCGTATAGCTTATTTTTATTTGTATTTTTGCAATTAGCTCAGCTGTTATCCAAGGTTTACGAGCTCGCCTAGGGCATCGTACAGCTTTGCAAGGAAACTGACGTTTATAAGTAGCCTGAAACTGTCTATGTCTCGTACGCCTCATTCGCGTCCGTTTTATTGTGTACATCAACAACAGATCATGACAGAAAGATCCCCTTCCCCTTGAGTTAGGGTTTAACCGGCAATGTGCCACTGTGCAGCTTAAAAAGGAAGACTTAACCGGCGGGTCGCACATTTTCTTTACTCGAAATAGCACATCCTGTCCTAGACGCAGGCTGTAAAGTGAACAATATAAACGCGCAGGGAGAAGCTCCGACAGGTCAAGGGCTATATATATATATTTTTTTTTTTGTGACATCGTTGACGTATTTTATTGCTTCTTTCAAAAACCCGCAGAGAGTTCGAGTCTCAGTACAATCCCCTGTGATCACGATAGCAGTTAGGGAGTTCGCCACTTTCATTTAAAATGGCTGTGCGCAAAAAAAAAAAAAAAAAAGTGATTCTATTTTATTACGAAAAAGAATCGCAAACCTCACAGAGGCGCGCGAGTCCCAGTCCACCAGAGTTTACACAACGGAAAAGGATGTCCCTTCACATCCTTTCCCAGCTTGATTTCCAGATGAAAGTTGCAAACACCCCAATGAATTTCTGGACGTTTGTGCGCCACAAGCGAGGACTAGCAAAACAGACCAGAGTTTCGCAACCGGAAAGATGATGCACATTGTGGCTCGAGCAAATATGGAAAAATCGCGATTAGCCCAGGTTGACACTATTGTTTTTAAATCTGTTGCCATTTCAGCCCTGTACGGTGTACCTGTCCTGTAATATTGCAATGGTACTCTGACATCGGTGGACAAAGTACCATACCAGCCTATTCCTGCATATGTAAGAGGTTCTGAGGCCCCATTTCCATGCCAGAACTCGCAGCATTTCCTCCAATATACAGCAGCTCCTGTCGCTTCACATGCTTAGTGATTAAAAAGCTGAACACGAAAAGGCACAAAAAATTAAGGAGTTTATTATAGCACGTCACTGTAGCACACAAAAAAAGCGTTTCATGCTTTTGTACATTGCGCGAAGTTCAGTGTGTCTGCAAGTGTATATATCAAAAACAAGGTGATAGCTATTCCATAGAGATGGCAATGAACTACAGAGGCACTTTTTTTTAGAGTTTAAGCGAGTTGTAGGTACTGTCCAGTTCTTTTTGTGCCTTCTAAAATAACTAGATGTTTTTGTAATTGGGTTTGATTACGTATAGTATTTGTAGTATTTTGTGTTTCTGATTTATAGCGAGCACGGAAACAATATCCATATAGGTTCCAGGCTCTTAGCACACAGGAACGATGAAAGAAAATTGCACTTGGCGTACCACACGGCACATTATAGATGTGCCGTATATATTTCTTTTGCATGAAGTGTACACGCTCTAGGTTTGATAATGTAGTCCCCCTCACCAGTTAGAAATAGTCTAAATGTGAGCAAAAGTGAATTACATAGAAGCAACTTAATTCGCGTGGAAAGGAGGTGTCTAATACGACCAACTACGCCAGTAATTCGAGCTATTTTTGTTTGTAAGTGGTTAGCGTGATTTTCCCACAACATGTCGGAGCAAAGTACAACACCGAGACACTTTGGGCGCCTTAAAATCATCAGGCTGTATCATTATTTAATTACGCCAAATAAATCCGACTATATACATGTCTGCTTTTCAGGGTGTCTAGCGACCGGGAAAACTGAGAATCGTCAGGGAAATTTTAGTTACCGGGAAAAAATCAGAGAATTGTCAGGTATATTGTCGAAAAGCGAGCCCAGTCACGGAAAATGAGCGGGAAACGCCATTGATTGCCCATGAGCAAACACTTGAGGACTTGGGGGCAGAAGAATCGGCAATAAATTCTGCTTGGAGCGGAGCGCAGGCACTGCTCGCCCTATGTAAAGTGTGCAACCCGATGCATAGGGAACAGCCGACAAATCCAGTCCAAGCCTTGGATTGGTTTGGATTGAGAGCACGACACTAGGCTTGATCCAATCAGAACTACCTACTAGATTTAGTAACAAATCGGAAAGCTTAAGACCGCAACCCAATCCAAACATTAAGCCGAAACTATCCGAAAGTGTGCATCTGGCGGCCATGCGCCATGCTGCCATTCGGTTATTGACGTGTGTGGTTGAGCGTCCTGTTTTCATTGTGTTTCCGGAAGTGGCCTCTTCTCTGACTGTGTCGGCGGCAAGAAAGAGCTCGTTTAATCCAGAGTGGACGAACCCGAAAATTTTGGAATATTAAAGTTGAAATAAGCCAGTGCTCAGTGCTCGATGCCTTGTGTTGCTATGGTCATATATTTTACCGCCTCTAGTGGTCAGAAAGTTTTACCTGAAATTGTCAGGGAAAGCCATGCAAAAGTCGGGGAATTTTAAAATAATAATTTGCTAGACGCCCTGGTTTTTAGCGAGTCGTGAAAGATTAACCCCCTTGTTGTTTTCATATGATGAGGACCTTTCATCCCGTAGGTTCAATCCACCTCATCGAAGAGAGACCGGAGGCCAGGTTCGACGGTGGCGCATCCAAGATGAGGTCCTTCTGCATTTCCGGATTCTCAGACGCCCTGGACTGGAGGCCCATCCTCTTCCAGGAGCCCATCATCCCTCAGAGCGCATGCGCACTTTGTGGATTGGTGTCTCTCAAAGCCACCAGGCTGTCCTGTGGCCACACGCTCTGCTCAGAGTGCCACGAGAAGTGCTCTCAGGAAGGGAAGACCTGTCCCATCGACGGAGAGTCCTTCGGCGACGATGATTGCGTTCGACTCGACATTTCAGAGGGCTTCCTCGGAAAGTGCCGGGTGAGCACTTATGTCATATTTCTTTGCGAATCATAATAAGCAGCACGAAGTCAGTACCTCTTGATTGACATCTTTTTTTCATTGGAAACTATTTTACTGCAAGAGTATTAAAAAAAGCTAGGGTTTTTGCCATTTATATCCATACAGTAATTACAATGGAGCATCAAACCCGTACCTTGGTTTTACCAAACCCGCGATCGAACCAAAAGATGCGCCAGTCAAGCCGTGAACGCGCACTCGTACCAGTGAAAGCTCCGTTCGAGCCAACGTCCGTACACTCTTAGCTTCGGCTATGCCCGCTTCCTGATTATGGAAGGCACTACAGAGTAATATAGTTGTTATTGTCATTACATCAAAATGTGTAATAAAGTTTTCCTCCGAATATTTTGTCGGTATTAAAATACGTCGTCGTCATGCACACTTAGTTCTCTGTGCTATGTAGCTTCTGCCATCGGTCGGATTTTGCGCGGTTTCGGGGGGTGCTTGCAAAGAAAGCTTATTAAAGGAAACATCACAACAAGCTGCCAGAAGTTACACAAATCCCTCTTGATTACCAGTACTCAAGAGGCTATTGGTTTGTGTCCCATAGCTTGGCATTTGTTTTTGCAGGAGGTCTCCCCTAGTGAAACATTGTATTTTCATCTGTCCAAAAAGATATCCCAACATAGAAGGTACTATAAGAATTTGTACACGCCTGGTATGCGCATTATATAAGTTATATGAATTCTATGTCGATTGTTCAAATCATGCATGATTTGTTTCGTTCTCATATAGTCTTTTTTATTATAAAACTGGAAACAGTGCACAAATAACAAAGACGAGGTAGGAGGGACAAAGGTTGTCCCGCCTGCACCTTTCTCGTCTTTATTATTTGTGCGTTGTCTCCAGTTGCACCATGAACCAACTCGCCTGCATTGCCACTTTTTTTCATTTCATTTTATTTATTTATTTTTAAGGGCCCGGGTGGGTCTTTACATAAGGGAGGAGTAGACAAGAACTACAATACACTTTGACACTTGAAAACGACAGAAATGTAAAAAGGAGAGAGTCAAAATAACAATAGTAAAAAACACAAAGTACTGATATAGTTTAGTTGTGCGTGATTAGTGGATGTGTAAGGAGAATTTCTGGCGAAACCTTATTGGGTCAGTTATGAGTACAAGGCCGTCGGGAAGGGAGTTCCAGATGGCTATTGCATGGGGGAAAAATGAAGTGTTGAACGCAAGCGTTTTGCCTGCTATATGCTTGATGCATTGACGGTGATTAAGGCGTGATGATACTCTGTCAGGAGGGGCAAGAAGGTTGGCATGGAAAGTTATAGTAGAATTTATGCAATAAACATAACCGAGAATTCAATCTTCGACTGGATAGTAAGGTTAGTTCAAGAGCTTCTTTAAGTTGGGTCACACTGATGTTGCGAGTTTAAGCTGATGCAATGAATCAGGCTGCGCGGGTTTGTATGCGTTTCAGGTTATCAGAGTGGTAAGCTTGATAAGGGCGCCAGATGGATGATGCATATTCAAGCTTTGGTCGAACAAATGTTATATATACAAGTTTCTTAAGGTGACTGGGCCCGGAGTTTAAATTAGGTTTCAGGTATCCAAGTGTGTGTGATGCCTCAGCTATAATAACAACATGTAGTACCCAAGAAAGCGATGAGGTTAAATGTACTCCTAAGCACTTATACCTTAAGAGCACGTTCAGTATCTCCGATGCACTTATTTCTGTATCACTGGAATCATGGCGGTAATGCAGCCAAAGCATACGACTTAAATGTATATCTGAATGTGTCACAAGTACGCCGAAATGTCACGGTAAGCGTAGCTAAAGAGTGACTTTGTTGCAGAAAAGGATACCCGAGATGGGCCAATTACACACCACATTATTACAAAAGAACTATAGGTAGATTTTGTGCGAAGTAGAGCTGCTTATCGCTACGGGATAAAGCATCACAGAGGTTCGAACGTTGTAAATCTCGAGAACCGAACGCTCTACTACACCATTATAAACAATCTTCATAATTAATTAAATACTAAAGCGATGGTAATAGTCAAGATTTAAATACTTTCCTTATACTAGTTATAAAAAATTAAAAGAAAAAATAACAAAAGCGGCATGACCGGTCTTGCCGTTGAGCACGGGTTTCCATGGATTTGAGATTGAGAATATGTAGCGATGCTTAGCACTACGACCGTCCTGCGAACCTCGTGAAGTAAGGACACATTACATTGTGAGTAATGTTATCAAGATCATAAGGTGCGAAGGTTCGCCAGCTCTCCAGAACTATTTGAGCGCCGTTAACGTTTCCAGACTTAAATAGTGAAACGGCCTTGTTTGTATTTTCTTGGCATGAGTTACGTAAACCGTGTATTCGGTGTTTTATTTGTCTCACCAAGGCGGCCTGCTGGAACAAGTCTAATGGCTGCAACTTCAAGGGTCCCGTCAACAGTCTTTTGAAGCACTACATCGAGTGTACTTTCCACGTCGTGGCCTGTCCCAAGTGCCAAGTGCCCGTACTGAGGAGCGAGATTGTGGGACATTGCAAACATGGTTGCGTTGTACCCTCCCCTGAACCCGTAGCGGACACAGACTGTGCCACACAGGAACACGACCGCAGTGAGCAGATAAGTATTGAAATCAAAGCAGCGTTGGGCAAGCTCGCTCAAGACCTGTCCTGTCTGCACACCAGCCTTAGCCTGTGCTGGAAGGACGTCAGGGCGGCAGAAAGGAGGTCGAAAGAACAACTGCAAGCTCAGTCTGCGGAACTTGTTGTACACTTGACCAGATTGCTCACCGAAAGACCTTCTCTAGCAGGAAGCGGATCGAGTGACGCCACTGGGGTCGCTGCTGAAGTGGAGGAGGGTTTTCGGGTCGGAAACTTGAGCGCACACGCCGAATGCCTGCTGAATGCCAGAGAGAGCGCGTGCCAAGGACCGCCTTCTGATGACCAAAGAAAGGAATTCCACTGGCACTTAAGGGGATACGCAGCTCTGAGGAAACAAGCAAGCAAGGATGAGGGAACGGTAGTTGAGAGTCCCCGGCACTATTTGAGTGGATACAACGTTTCCATTGTATGCCACCTTGAAAGGGCGTTCGGCTTCAGCAAAGTTGATTGTTATTTAAAAATCTATCCTGGAGCCAACGATTCGAGCCTTGAATGGCCGTTCAGCGAGACTGTCAGGGTCGGGGTCTTGAACGACACGGGCAGAAAAAAGAGTGATCTTGAAAGAGTAGATGTGAGTATGTATAAAGATGCACGTGCTTTGCAGAGGCCAGAGGGAAATCCCAACAAAAGTTTTGTATTCTTGAAGCGGTGGACCCTGGAGTATCTAGAAAAGCAGGGGTTTGTTGAAGGTGACTCACTGCACCTGCTCCTTGAGGTGGTGTAATTGAAAGACTGCTTCTCTTACGAACGATAAATTTAAAATGAGAAAAAAGTAAGCTGCTAAAATTTAAATTAAGCTTTTTACCTCTCCTTCATAATCGCGCCCTGTTTCATTGATAGTACAGTTTCACAGCTGTCTCATTTTCTTGTTTGCTGGAACTGAATCAGGCACAATGAGAAAAATGCAAATATGTAGATTGTGATGTATCAGTATAATTAAACCATATACTAAATGCACCGGCTTTGCTGTTAATTAAAATCATACTTATAATGTAAAAAAAAATATTGGCATACTAAGTCCGAATATTTTATTATTTCTATTTGTGCACTTATCATACCGTTATCAAGCAAGAAATGTTTTTATTGTTTGAGAATGTCAGTGCTCTTCTGAGACAGAAGTGGCGCTCTTCTGGGGAGAAATTAAATTGGAGTCTTGAGCTTTATCCTTACCTTGCACTTTGTTCTTCGGACGTGCTGTGTCATATTGTGAGCCAGAGTGCGAAATAAAGAAACAGAAACAAAAAATCTACGCGTCAGTGCCATAGGTCGGCATTTTAAGCTGTCCTCACTCAAACTCACAATCACCTATTTTCCCTTAATCAGAACTCACGCCCACTCACGATCACGATTTATTAAAAACAGGGTCATCACCCAGGCTCACCCTCATGGTTCAACACGAAACCAAAACTCGCTTGCCATCATCATCATGGTCATCACGCTCACAGGTCATCACGAATCATCAGGCTCACAGGTCATCGGACATACAGGTCGTCACGCTCCATCACACTCGCTCGTCATCACACTCGCAGGTTATCACGAATCATCAGACTCGCAGGTCATCACACTCACAGGTCCTCACGCTCACTGACCGGCCTGTACACTCACAGGTCCTCACGGTCCTCACACTCGCAGGTCCTCACGGTCCTCACACTCACAGTTCCCCACGGTCCTCACACTCACAGGCCATGTATGTGGTTGATGTATATACGTAGTCACTGTAGCGTATTTTGTTCTATTTTGTTGTTTGCATGTCTTAACTTTCTTGTTTGTATACTTTAATACTAACCAGTGCTTAGGCTTCGGCTGTTACTGGGTACAATACATGTGTTATTATTATCACGGTCCTCACACTCGCTGCTCTTCATACTCACACAGGTCATCACGCTCATCACACTCACAGGTCATCTTGCTTACAGGTTGTTTTCTTTGTGTTTTAGAGCGCAGCTCTTAGGGGCCCGTTTCCGGCTTGAGCGGCGTCGGCGTCGCGGTCGACGTAACCGCGTGGTGCATTATGAGTAAATTTCCCCGCTAAATCTAGCGGAAAAATTTTCCCGCTAAATCTAGCGTAAAAAATTCCCCGCTAAATCTAGCGGAAAAATTTCCCCGCTAGATTTAGCGGAAAAAATTCCCCGCTAAATCTGGCGGAAAAATTTCCCCGCTAAATCTAGCGGGTTAAATCTAGCGGAAAAATTTTCCCGCTAAATCTAGCGGAAAACTTTCCCCGATAGGTTTAGCTGAAAAATTTCTCCGCTAAAGCTAGCGGAAAAATTTCTCTGCTAAATCTAGCGGAAAAATTTCTCCGCTAAATCTAGCGGAAAAATTTCTCTGCTAAATCTAGCGGAAAAAGTTTCCCGCTAAATCTAGCGGAAAAATTCCCCGCTAAATCTAGCGGAAAAAATTCGGCGCTAAATCTAGCGGGGAAATTTCTCCGCTAGATATAGGGGAAAAAATTCACCGCTAAGTCTAGCGGAAAAATTTTCCCGTTAAACCTAGCGGAAAAATTTTCCCGCTAAATCTAGCGGAAAAATTCCCCGCTAAATCTAGCGGAAAATTTTTTCTGGGGGTCACGTGACCCCCCAAGGTCACATGACCCCCACCAGAGGTCACGCGACACCCCCCCCCCCCCCCCCCCCCCCCCCCCCCGCCCCGAGAACAGGTAACCCTCACTCAGTACCCTTCCCTCCTCCTCCTCAAGAGCTGCGCTCCAATTCGGTGTTACAGGGAGTTATAAACGGCTTTCATTTTTTTCTTTTTCTCGCAAGCCGTTGGTTTGTCCTTGCACCTTGATATTAAACTTTGTCGGGCGACATTCACGTTTCAAATAGCGCAAAGCATTTGAGAATGCCACACCAAGCAATTGAATAGTCTTATATTTTAAGTCTGATGTTACATTTCGGTCAAATAGTTGCACAGCTGTAGTCTTATCAAGCAATACTTTCGGGTCAATTTATTAAAAAAAAGTCTACGCTTCGATTGCTTCAGCAATATCTGTTAGTCGACGGAGGAAGTACTATAGCAAGGACCAGGATATCATCTAAAGTGGCGAACTTTTGATTTTATTCAAAATATTATTAATCATAAAACCTGTTGCAGTTGGATTTCAAAGTAAAAGACTTGAAGATGAAGACAACGAAAAGTAATTAATTTCGGCAAGCATTACACGCGGACGTTTGTATGGTCACGAGTTATCTCACGCGACAAGGAAAAGCTCGTGTCGAGCAAGCACCCACTCATTGCGTTGGCGGAATAGGCTGACACAATCTCTTTTACAGTAAAACACATTTGAGGCGAATGAACCGAAAGGACGGAAATGTTGACATGATGAATTAGTACTACAACATTTTGGGGAGGCGAACACTCTAAGGAGTTCAGAGCACGACGTTTATGTCCTGCTTCCGTATGCTTTTTTGTTCTCAATTTCAAACGTTATTGTATTGCTGTATATCCAAAGTACTGCTTTAGCCAGGTATTCGCACGGTTGTTTCTCAGTATAGTATGCAAATGCGTAACGCATATTTCTTCTTTAGGACGAAGCACAGCTTACCTAACGTTTCAGCATTTTACGTTAAGCAGCAGTGTATAACGTTGAAGTTTGGGCTAGTTGGTATTTCACGGTTAAAAATTAAAAACAGCGGAAAGACAGAGACAAGAATGAGAAGGAGAAAACAGCGCTGTGTTCGTCTACCTTCTCGTTCTTGTCCGTGTCTTTGCGCTGTTTTTAATTTTTAGTAGTGTGTAGCGGTGAACTAGCACTAATTAACGGCAGTAATATGCGCTCAAAACTAAAATAGCATTTTGGGCGGCTGACCTGTGCGCTACAAGAAGCCATCATAGAGTTGGGAAGGGGAACTTTTTCTTGCGTCATCTTGCCGCGAGCGACACTTAAAAGCATAATATCACACAATGTCAAAGATCTCACTTGAAGCTTCGATCGATCACGACACCGCCTTTGTTGCACTCCTGAGTGATGACTCATTTGCAAAAGGTACGGTGAGGTGCGCGGAAAGATAAAATTGTTTGCGACTGGGTGGTGATGAGGATCATGCGAGTCGCTTAATTTTATCACAGCTGTGCAAACGTTATAGCTGACGCAATCATACAATTCTATGACCACCGGCACCAACTTCGCAACAGGAACCGAAATCCACACAAGCCTATCTATGCCACAGGGAGAAGAGCGCTAACCATTTGGAGCGCTTCCCCAACTCCGACATTACTGCGTCGCCTCGACACGCCATCTTTCCGTAGGCGTCTCGCCGTCTGCAGTGAAGCGATGAGCGAACGTCAAGGCAAGACAAAAACGAACCCCCCAGTACCCTTCCCCCCCCCCCCCGCCCTCCACAGCTGGTTCACACATTGCGGAAGGTGCTGGCAAGGAGAAGTGTGCAAAAACAAGCCCCCCCCCCCCCTAGCGGAGGAGCAGGTGAGCGACATCCAAACCAACCCTAACTCCGCGCAGTAGTTGCGAGGTGCGAGTCTCCTCGTCCACTAAGATGGAACGGGAGCTCACGTGACCAACCCAGCCAAGATAATACCAGTGCTCACCACGACTCATCATGGCCATGGTCCTCAGACTTGCGTCACCACGCAGACTAATGCAATCGCCGGACTCATATCCATCCTAAAACTCGCGTCTTGATTCAGGCTCGTGCCCGAGTCTCAAAACTCACGATCACGCTCGAAAGATCTCAAAACTGATGCTCATGAATACATTCACTTAGAGCTCAAGCTCACACTCGTGAGTCCTCAGAACTCGCGCTCACACTCACAAGTTCGCAGAACTCACGATCACATTGACGATCAGACTCACGCTCATGAGTTCTCAGAACTCACGATCACACTCACAATTTTTTAGATGCGGAGCATCTCTTGCTCGGGTCTATGTCCCGCGGCGTCGTAGTCCGCACTCACACTACGCATGCGCAACTCTCTTCCTTCCCTCTCTCCAACAGCTGCGCGTTACTCTCTCCGCCCTCTCTCCCTACCAGCTGCGTGCACTTCGCGTGCGTTCGCTTCTACTCACACCGCGCGCGCATGCGCAACTCTCCTCCTCTAGTCTCCTCGCCTTCAAGTATGAATATAAGCAGCGGTAGCGCGCTGCGCGCGTTCAGTTCACCGCTGTTTCTCTCTCTCTGGTGTGCGCTGCTGCCAGCTCTGCCAGCAGCAGCGACGGCGTGTGTGCACGGGCTTTTCCTCCTCGCCCGCCGGGAGGGAGGGCTGTCGACCCTCGGCGCGAGCGAGCGAGCTCGTCGGCGCAGCGCCGCTGTCGAGCCGATCGCTGGCTGCTGCCGGCGGCAGGCTCTTTCGGGGACGACGAGAGAGCCCCACTCCCCGCCGCCGGAGCACCCACAAGAAGAAACGGCCAAAAAATTACACCATCTTCCCGAACCATGGGGTGATGCGGAGCATCGCGGAGTTGCCAACAACGTTCACGCGATGTGTGGTAACCAACGCAAGTTAACAACGTAATAACACGCAAGTTAACAACGTTACTAACAACATTACTAACACCGTTAATAACACCGTTAATAACGATCCGCGATGCTCCGCATCACCCTATGGTTCCCCTCGGGAAGATGGTGTAATTTTTGAGACCTGCGGCCTCACTCACGATCACCTCAAATCTGACGGCGAGCGTGAGTGATCGCACTCATGAGAGAGAATGCCGAGATATGGTCGGTGCATACGCACATCGAGGCACAAGCGGGCAATGAAAGGAGGGAGAAGTGGACCCAGAGACTGCTCTAGTAATACTTTCAAGGATCGTTGGACCGCAAAGGGACGCTACCAACCATTCCAACCAATTCAAAACTGTGAACTCATCACGCGCATTCCTGCTACTTTTCCAAACGTCACATGACAATCAAACTGCATTGGATAGGCTTGCCGCCTCCTTTGTGAGACCTCGTCGAAACTTTGCAGTTTTGAAAAACAAAAGCAAAAAGCCATTCTTGAGGGGCGAGTGTGCACTCAACTTTAACAACCAACTTAACGTTAAAGACAATTGTGTTGTGGTTAAGAGGTTGTGGTTATTTCGTCTGGAGCCAAGCTCAGACGCTGTAGAGTGCGTATAGAGCCATCAGAGAAAAAAGCGCCATCTGTCGCACACAACGACAACCAGCGCTAGCCGCCACGCTGTAGGGTAGTGGTGCGTCTTTGCATGCGCTGCATGGGCCGTAGACGGTAGTCTGAGTGCGTCAGTTCCGCTGCCCACGATGCCAACGTACTGCTGCGTCCCCCGTGTAAGCAGAGTGGATATCTGGACAAGCCTGGCATTAAGGTACGTGTTTGTAAATGTCAGGTGTTTCCCCAGGAATTGAAATTAGGGGGGGGGGGGGGGGGGGCCTAAATTTTTAGGGGGGTTAGCGAGAATAGAGAAGTCGTCGTGAGTTAAGGGGGTGCCTTCGGAAAAAACAGGGGGGTTCCCACCCCCCTTCCCCGTAGGGGGTGCAGGGAAATCACTGGTAAATGTACGCATTATCGGTTGGCGGTTTTTCGTCGGGTGAGGATATTCAGCGGCGTAGCCGCACGGATGTTTGCCTGCTCGAGTGCAAGAACGGAATACGCGCCGTTCCTACCCACGCCCCTTGGGGTGTTTTTAATCTCTCTGTAGCGTTTGGACATAAGAGTATTTTTAAGTTTCAGCTGATTTGACGAAATCAAAGCGCCAAATCATGCAAATGTAATGTTACTTGTGGTACCGCTTGTGGACATGACAGCCTCGCGAGCGCGTAGTCTCACGTATGCGCGAGCTTGCGGTGCTTCCAGGTTGTGTGTGTAAATTGTGTCATGTACGCACGAAGCCATACGACCTTACGCTTTAACATGTCTAGCGCGTACACACCTGTGCAGCGCATGCTTTATGCAAAGTAACATGCAAAGCAATTTTGCCAGTGCAGCACGACTGCTACCCTGGTGTCTTTAACGTGCTCACGCAGTAGTGATACGCGACCGCACGCCGGTACGCTGCTCATCCAGATTGAAACGCGCGGGGGGGGGGGGGGGGGGGGGGGGGGTAGGCTCAAACCTATGATAATATTAATAATGAATTCATTTTCTAAATTAATTGGAGGGACAGAAGGGAAAAAACCTCCAATGGAGGCTCGACAACCCTCAAGCCCCATACATGATAACAGGCACAGCAGCACGAAAAAAAAGAAGAGAAAAAAGGTTTGTTTACTAATAGTGGTGGAACATTCGCCATAAGAAGCGCGTATATTTATGATTGCGCATTTAAGATTGGAAGGTGTCTAGACTGGTCAGCGTAAGGAGACTGTTTTCTGAAAGCATCGTCCTTTGTATTTACAATATATCGAAAACAGCTTCTGTTTATTATGTAAGGAGACTCGTGGAGAGAATAGGCCAGCTTACCTTTAACTTTCATTTTATCCGATGCTGGGAATAATGGCACGTCAACATCAGGCGATTTGTTACGTCATAACAACCCATCTGCTTGACGTTCAGTTGTTCTGGCGATATAAACATTCGGTTTACCTATGCATTTTAAGAAACTGCATACCATGCTCAGTCCCATTTCAGCAGTCTTTTAAGTGATGTATTGTCTTTAGATAACCAGTTTAATTCGCTTAATTTATTTTAACACAAAGGTTTGGACTTCCCGCGTAAGAAACTGTCGTAGACAGCTTAAGAAAACAGTGTTAGAATTGCGTACGCTAAATCTTTGTATAGAAGCTTTATACACGCGCCATATTACAGCCGCCATTGCTGACCTCTTGTTCTACCGAGGTGGCGAGACACTGATGAGGGCGTTGAAGGACCTTAACAAAGACCAATGTTGGGGAGAATGACATAGTAGGGTCTAAATGGCAATAGCCTCTTCTGCTGTGGTAAGGATGAAGTAAACAGAATAAGACAAGAACTGAAGGTTGGTTGTGGCGGTGCCTATGATGCACAGTTGCTGCAAAGCGCCTATACTGAAAGGAGTAATGCTGTCTCCATGAGCTTGTCCTAAAAGCGTCTTTTTTTTTTTGCGTACGAAAACAATTTGCCTACGTTGTTCTAACTCTCACCGGTGCCTGGGGTCTGCAATATTTGACGGCGAAAAAAAGGTGTCTGCATAAAAACCAACCGAGTTGAGCATTGTCGATGGCCGATGGGATGGTCAATGGGAGGTTTACTTTTTGTGGCTGGCCACGCCGAAATTTACATAGCGCGTCTGTTCAAGCAAATGAAGATATGTTTACGCAGGTCCATGAAGTGGCGCATAGCGTCATGCTTCAGGCAAACTTTTTTTTAAATACTTCTCCTGCGGCTGCACCCTTTAATTTTATTTGGCCACTTTTACGGAAGTCAAAGATCAGATTTAATTTGACAGGCCAGTCACTTTTATCTTGTAAGCAAATGTCCATATAAAAACAGTGCATTTCCTAGAACCAATATTGTGAAATGATGCTTATGATGGTACTTTAGAAGAGCTGATAATTAAAAAAATTCCCAATTTCCCACCCGGCCCATTTCCCAGAGTCAAATTATTTCTCGAGCGCTTAATATCTTTTATTAAAACAGGCCGGGATAATATGACTTGTGCTTATAAATTATCTGCGTCATTGCACGAGACTTTTTTAGTCTGCGATATTCACTAAGCTGGGTGTCCACGAAAACAAAACAGTTAATAGTAAACTCGAGAGTTCATCTCTTTTTCCCGATTCAGCACACTGCTAATCTAGCTGTCGACCTGCATTTTCATTCATGTATTAGTCCCTTCATTGGTTTTTATGGAAACTAGTGGCATCAGGTACGGTCGTTGACGATCGTAATCTTCCCTGTTCAGTCGTTTCGCTCTAACCATAATCAGATGCATCAAAAGTGTTTGTAAGAAAGCACGCAATTTAGGCTCGAAACCACTTCATAGTCCTCAGAGTGGCTGTACCACTGTTTTATTGGCTGTGTGCTACAAGGGAAACATTTGTATCACAAAATTAGGCAAAAATCTACATAAAACATGAACACAGCCGCATGCACTTTGAAACCGAAACCAACACAACTGAAGCAACCTAATGGCAGAGAGTGCGTCAGTGCCCTCCATCTGCCGGTCAGGCAACTGCAGAGATGGAAAGGTCTATAAAGTTCCTATCAAAATGGCTGTCATCTGGATGATTGTCGTAGGACAACAGTACGAGGTTGGGCCTGCGACGGGTGAGTAAATTAATTTTGTGAAATGCAAGTAACATAAGAGCCTCGCCTCATACTTTTACGCCAGGATGGTGTAAACAAGCACCTTCATTTTGAAGCTGATCATCCAGGAGCTGGGGAGCCTGATTTTCACACGGCGGTACCACCATCGTTGAAAGTTGCGAATAGACCACCGATTCACATCCGGCTACATAGACGGAATTTTTGTTTTCTTATAAGCTCATCAGCGGTACGCAGGTTGGAGCCTCAGGGGCGGTGGCTGGGAGCGATCATGTGACTATTGATGTCATGGGGGTTTTCCACCACCAGCTGTCGTTGAAAAAAAAAGAACTTCTTGCGACGGTTTACTTCTCGTGTATTGAGGTTATGCATAGACGCTTTGCACACGTACCAGATTACATCTGCCATTGCTGACCTTCTCTTGTGTTACCGCTAGATACCGAGCCACTGAAACAGGCATCGACGAGCTTCCACAAAGGCCAACGCTGGGAAGGACACAGTAGAATCTAAACGAGCAAAAGATGTGACCATACTGTTGGCGTACTGGATGAACGCGTAGTTTTCCAAAGACTTCGAAACGTCCAAATCCTATCTACGTTTCCTTCAACTCAGTTGGAAACACGGCAGAGTGGCAGCGGCGAGTTTCAAGGATAGGAAGACGCCGCTCAGTGATCTATGGGCACCCACGGAAAACCAGACGGGAGAAAAGACTATACACCGCACAGGCTGCGGGAGCACAAGAGCAAAATGGTGGCAAGTGTTTTAACTCCTGACCGAAAAAAAATAACTATTGTGACCCAAGTTAGTGGAAACATTGGATTGCAACGTGGAAGCACTACAGCATCGTATCAAGACTTTACCTTTGCAACGCGCGGAAACGCAAGTGAACCCATTTGTACGCAATGGGAAAGGGACGCCAACGGCCAATCTCGTAAACTAGGGCACAGTTCATCCGTACAAATGCGGCGAACAAGAGCTGCAGAGTTTGTCACTGAACTGTACTGCTTCCTTCTATAATTTTATTTTTTAATGCAGATTCAATAACTTTTTTTCTTATGTTGCATGTTCTGACTTCAGCTGGAACCAGCTGCAACTGGGACTAAGTGCAATTGGTCCCTGTTGCAACTGGGATCTAACTGGTCCCAGGTCAACTGGTGTATTGCCCCCCTTCCCAGCTGCAACCATTGGCAACTAGAGTAAGGACTCCCATTCGCAGCCAGCGTCGGCCAACGCGATTGGGCAAGTGCGCTTGTCGACGTTACGATGCGCGAAACCAACGAGTGGAGTGCGATGGTTTCGAAGCGAAATTTCAGTATTGCGCTGTTTGCATCATTAACATTTTGCGTCACTGTAAAATGTAATGCACGAGCCCAAAACTAAGTATTGATAAGTTGTAATTTCCATTGGCCCAGAAAAAAATATATAACATGAGGGAAGAGTGTGCATGCGTGATATTTATTGCAGTTTGATCAGTAGTCGGTATTGTAATCTGGAACTAGATATAGCTGTTAACTAACATCTATAAAACAATAAAACACAGAAAAACAATTTTTTTTCAAAAACACTTCAGTGCATCTTCAAAGAGTTTTTCACCAGTGTTTATTCAATAATGACTGGACAAATTAATTTACCCAGGTAGGCTTGAGGGCATAGCTTGCACTTGTATGGTTTTTGTCCTGTGTGCATTTTACTGTGGCGGAGCAGATTGAAATGGCAAGCAAAGGCTTGAAGCACAGCTTGTAACTAAGGTTTTTCGCCACTGTGTTTCATTATGGAAGGTCAGAATGGAATTATGAGCAAACTCTCAGGGGCAAAGCTTGCACTTGAATGGCTTTTCCCATGTGTGTTCTGTTATGGCAAAGCAGACTGCAATTGTGAGCAAAGGGAGAGCGGCACAGATTGCACTTAAATGGCTTTTCATCGTAGTGTATGATATGACTCCCAAAATGAGAATTCTTAGCGAATGCTTGGGGGCAAATCTCACACTTAAATGGCTTTTCATCTGTGTGTTTTACTGCGATGACAGACTTTTATTGTAAGCAAAGACTTGGAGGCACAGCTGATACTTAAATGGCTTTTCACCTGTGTGTTTGGCTGTGTTGAAACAGATTGCTACTTTGAACAAAGGCTTGGGGCAAAGCTTGCACTTAAATGGCTTTTACCTGTGTGTTTGACTGTGCTGAAATAGATAACTACTTTGAGCAAAGGCTTGGCGGCAAAACTTGTATTCAAATGGCTTTTCCCCAGTGTGTGTTATATTATGATTCCTGAGATATGAATTCCAAGCAAAGGCTGGAGGCAAAACTTGCATTTAAATGGCTTTTCACCTGTGTGTGTTTGATTGTGATGAAACAGACTGCCACTATGAGCAAAGGCTTGAGGGCAAAGCTTGCACCTAAATGGCGTTTCACCTGTGTGTTTTACTGTGACGAGACAGACTGCTATTGTCAGCAAAGGCTTGGGGGCACAGCTCACACTTAAATGGCCTTTCACCAGAGTGTGTTATACTTAGGGCTCCGTGTTTTCGGATAAATCCGAAAAACTCCGAAAAACACCCGTCGGTAAAATTTTCGTCAATTCGAATTTATCCGATAAACTCCGAATGTTTATGTGCCAATGCCACCCCCCCCCCCCTCAGCAAAAAAAAGATAAAAAACTTTTTTTTGTTTGTTTGCAATTTGTTTAGCACGGAATCAATGGTCCTGGGAAAATGGCACCATAATCATCTTTCAAGCCTCGAACCGTTGTCAAGGGGTCTTGCCGCTTGTCTCGTCGAGGTTGATTCAGTGCAACAGGTCATTGTACATCCGGGTCACGACAAAAGCCACTCTTTTGGTTTACAGTTTGAGCCATCCGATTCGTGATTTAAAGAAAGGAGAAGTTATGCTTTTGTAACAGTGAAAGCTATGAACCATAAAGGTTGCATTATATAAAGGAAGGGGACGGTTTAAACTATCTATTACATCCTTAACCACTCCACCTCGCGCGGCCGCAGGATAGATTGATGGGATGACTACGAGCTTCCTTGCGGCTACCTCTGGAAGTTTATTGATCTTAACGTATCGATGTTTATCGAAGCCACACTTGTGTGCGACTTTCATCGTGGAACAAAATTAATAGTGCCAATGGCAATGGCACGAGCATCAAATTCAACTGAAGGAATTTTAATTGATACAAGCGCGTTTTATTTTTAATTTGGCATACATCCGGTTAATATTTACATATTTTTTTTCAATAGGAAACACTGTGAAATTAAACTCCGAAATTCGGAGAATTCGCAAACAAACAAATATAAACTCTGATAGACTCCGAATCTTCGGCAAAAAATAAACTCCGAAAAACACCCTCCGATTTTTACGAAAAATAAACTACGAAAACGCGGAGCTCTAGTTATACTATGCCTCCTGAGATTAGAATTGCAAGCAAAGGCTTGGGGGCAAAATTTGCACTTAAATGGCTTTTCACCTGTGTGTTTTCGATTCTGATCAGACAGACCACTATTGTCAGCAAAAGCTTACACTTAAATGGCTTTTCACTAGTGTGTATTATATTATGCCTCCTGAGATTAGAATTGCAAGCAAAGGCTTGGGGGCAAAACTTGCACTTAAATGGCTTTTCACCTGTATGTGTTTGATCGTGATGAAACAGACTGCGACTGCTTGGGGGCAAAGCTTGCACTTAAATGGCTTTTCACCTGTGTGTGTTTTACTGTGACGAGACAGATTGCTATTGTCAGCAAAGGCGTGGGGCACAGCTTGCACTTAAATGGCTTTTCACCAGAGTCTATTACAATATGCCTCCTAAGACGAGTACGCCAAGCAAAGGCTTGGGGGCAAAGCTTGCACTTCAGTGGCTTTTTGATTGTGACGAGACAGACTGCTATTGTCAGCAAAGCTCGCCTGCACCCTTACAATTTTTTCATTTTCACCAGTGTGTGTTATATTATGCCTCCTGAGATTAGAATTGAAAGCAAAGGCTTGGGGGCAAAGCTTGCACTTAAATGTCTTTTCACCTGTGTGTACTAGACTATGTCTGGTCAGTAGGTGATTCTCAGCAAAAGCTTTAGGGCACAGTTTGCACTTATAAGGCTTTTCACCAGCATGTGTTAGATTATGGCTGCTCAGAGTGGAATTCTGAGCAAAGGCTAGGGGAAACAGCTTGCACTTGAACAACTTATCACTCTTATGCTTTTGAGTGTTGCTTGGCACTTTGAACCTAGAGCCAGACAACATGGAAAGATGCTCGAACTTGAATTGTTCATCGGCATGGACAACCAGGTGACTCACAATCCCACGATGATCTCTGGTGACATAGGTGCAGGAACAGCATCCGAACCAGACGTCCTCGGTGGCTTTCAGGGGGTAGCTGATCACTCCCAAAAGTGCATCTCCCTCACCTACAAGGCCTCATGTGTATTAGTACACAAAAAAGCACAACCAAGATTGCCACATTTTTTTAGAAATAAGCAGCCATTTATTATTTATTCAGTGCCTGTTACTCTGCAGCACCAAGAGGCACTATGCAAGGGAGGGGGAGGGGAGGAGGGTGTGATGGTACATTTTTTTGAGAAATACACTCATTCAAAATCACGTAGAAGAAAGTGTTTGCACCTCAAAATTATGCTACAAATTATAACTTTAACATATAAGATCCAGATTGGTATCAGAATAAAGCCAATAAAAATGTGAATATCGATACAGGAAAAAGTATCAAGGCAAACATTTCAATCCACTGCGAAATTGTAAAAATAAAAAAGTACTTGTATTTTATGCCAATCTCATTGATCATCACATTTACAAGTATTTTGAAAAACAGAGCAGACCCAAAGTGTTGCAAACTACGCACTCTGAAAACGCATATACACAAAAACAAAATATACTTTTGTTTTGTCCAGCTATTACGTAATAGTTTATCTAGAAAAAAGCAGTAGATAAAATAAAAATAGTGTCATCAGGCAATTCGTTCTATTGTTTGATAGTATTGGGAAAAAATTATAATTTGAATACATTGGTCCTCGCTGTAAACTCAGATTTTCTTTCAGTTACCTTGTCTGTGTGATACAAATTGCGGTGGTTCGATGAATTTAGATTTATCCAGTCCAGATGGATCATGGTATATCATATGTAAAAAAATTAGGCGAAGACGACATCTTCTAGAGTTAAATGGTGCCCAGTCTAATTGACATTTAAAGACCGGCGATCGGTTCGCGCTTTCCACTTTTCCCCCTTCCCCTATCCCCCCTTCTACCCTGTCCACCATTGCCTGTTTCCTCCTCTCCCAATGGTGAGGAGGATCTTCTGCCTTGCAGAATCTCGAGTCTGGTCGTCGGCCTTTAAGGGCTATAACGCTTTGCTTGTAATTTTTTGTAACGAACCTAACTGCAGTTTTGTTCAAGCTGAGCAGATGATTTTTTTTTTACTCCTGTTCAAGGAAGCACTGAAGTTGACTCTCTTAACTGTTTCATTAGCCTGAAACCGCATTGACCACCTTAAGACTTATTTTTTAACGTAAATGCCATTTTCTTCAGTGATAGCTTTACCATAAAATCCTTGCATGAACGCCCGCCCCCGAGAGTTCAGCCATTCTGACTTCCGAGTTGAATATCCATAGCATAGCATGAGAATTCTAATATATTGCCCACATGCTGATTCCCGCCGCATATCGATCACGCAATGTCTGACTGGCATCCTATCGACCGTGCAAAATGCTGTAACGGTAAGTGTGACAAGCGTGCCCACAACGGATTTTCTGGTGTTCCTCGCACATTGGCATACGAATCTGCTGTGTCCGCGATCTGCAATATCCGTTCCCGTGACATGCAAGCATGCAGCACGTGGCCACGCTTTTGTCCACCTGATATCGGTTTCCGTGGTATGCGAGTTTCCAGCACGATCGTATCGTGACACGTGAATCTGCTTTGTTCACAATCTGCGGTATTCATTCATGTGACGTGCGAGCTCATAGCGCGTTCCGGCGATTTGGTCCAGGATTTGCATGCACAATATAAATTGCCATTGCGCCGGTGTTTGTAGCGAGTTCTTAAGCCTGTTATTCAGTACCTTTGCCTGTTTTCATAGCATACAATTTGCATCCGTCACTTCGTATCTTGCTTGATTCGAGACGTGGTCCGCAGCAACCGTCTTTCCCTCAGACAGCAACCAAGTTCATGACTACAAGAAACCCAAAACAAGGGTAAAAAACAAAATAAGAAACACAACGACCTCTCAAATTTAAGACATTGTTCTTTTCTCCCTTTTTTTCTTTTTTCTGCTTTCTTTCTCTTGTCTCGGGGTTTTATAAGTACGACCGTGTACGAGCTAGCCTGCGCTAATAACATTATTTCAGAACAAATTTCTTTCTGAATTGTAAAAAAATTATTTCGTAATCTTAACTTTTATAGATTGTTGGCCAGTAACCATGAGTCTCACTCGTGCCCTCCAACATGGATGATCAAGCTCGACCACGAGTCAGGCTCATGCTTTGGTTCGGGAGCTTGTTTTGTGCACTCTCCAACAGATGGCGGTGCTACCACTATCTGGTATCGGGAGGTCTGACGAGCTGTTTGTTGTTGTTGAAAACTTTATTGAACCAAACAATAGACCGAAGTCTAGTTTACGGGTTCGAAGGGTTGGGGGTATGGGACTGTCTCATGCATAGGCGTTTCTTCCACTTGTCTTCGATCTTCTGCGCCCTGGAGATGACTTCCAGTTGCGTGCCGATGTCTTCGGCAGCCAGTAAGGTTTCCCATACCGGTAGGCCATCTTCTACCCGAAGGGTGGCAGGTACCGGGTTTGCAGGGCATTCCCAGTACACGTGCCGCCAGGTTCCTTCTTCCCGGTTGCCGCAGTCTTCACACTTGCCACTAAAGAGGTCTGGCCAGGACTTCTTTAGTATGTGGGGAGTGGTGTTGTTTCGAAGTTGGAGTCTTCTCCGGGCACTTTCTTGGAGTCGGTTGAGCTTCTTGTGTGGAGCTGCCAACGTCTGTCTTCGTAGCCGGAGTCTCTCGAGGATTTCACCATAACCTGCAGGCCCCATTGTGTTTGTCGAGGCGCTGTAGTTATGGTCCCCATGTGTCGTGGGGAGGCCCATTCTGCCAGTGGTACGGAGATGAAGACCGCGTACCACCAGCATGTGGGCCGTTTCGTTTCCTGTGTGCTCGAAGTGTCCGGGCACCCAGGTTAACGTATGGTTTGCTTCTTTGCTGATCTGGGCTCTGGCGTAGAGCTTGTATGCTGCTAGTCCAACTCTTCCCAAACTTGTATTGGTGATGGCTTTCTTGGAGTCGCTTGTGACGATGGCGTACATTTTTCCTCTTCTTGCTGCTTGTACTCTCGCAAGGGCGATGGCTGCTTCCTCGGCTTCCTCTATCGACTTGGCGCTGATTGTGGCCATTGAATCTTGTCTCGCATTGTGTACTGCTATTACAAATTTTCCTGGCCTGCCTGGATAGGGTCCAGCATCGGCGTGGAAGATGTGCACCTTTCCTTCGTGCAGCTTGTTCAGAGCTTTGACTCTAGCTAGCCTTCGTCCTGAGTTGTGCGTCGAACTCATATTCTTCGGAAGGGGAATACGCCGTACTGTGTCAGTTCATTCTTGTCGTATAGAGTGTTTCTCCTGCATTTCCTGGACCATTAGCAAAACACCTATGTCCTGTAGGACTCGCCTTCCAGTTCGGGTTTGTGATAGTCGCTGGATTTGCACCTGTCTTTGTGCCTTTCTCATTTCATCGAAAGTGTTGTGTATCCCCATTTGATCGAGGCCGTCGTTGGATGTTTTCTGACTAATCCCCAACGCAGCCTTGAAAGATCTTCTTATAATGACATCTAGGGAGTCTTCCTCTGCCTTCTTTAAGTTCATGTAGGGTGCAGCGTACATTATTCTACTTAATGTGAAGGCGTGCACTAGCCTACACGTTCCACTTTCTTTGAGTCCGTAACTTCTTTTGGATGTGCGCCTTATGAGTCGCGCGACATTATCCACCTGCTTTCTTAATTTAGTGAGCGCTTCTCTGTTTCGATCCTCGATAGATACTATCATCCCCAAAATCTTTACTTGATCCGCTCGTGGAATGTCCATCCTCTGTAGTTTGATGTAGAATTCTTCGTTCTCCCTTAACTTGCGATTCTTTGATGTGCGGACTAGTAGCGCTGATTTATCGGTGGCACATTCGAGTCCAGCCTCTTTCGCTTCTTGCCGTACAATCTTTATGCCAGCGTTTATAACGTTGTTTCTAGACGGTGACGGCAGAGCAGTCCAGAGTGTTATATCATCGGCGTACACTGCATGTTTGAGTCCTTCAACTTCTTGAAGCTTCCTTGACAAGGGGATCATTATCAAATTAAAGAGTAGCGGCGATATTACCGATCCCTGGGGTGTTCCTCTTCCTTTGTTGACTTCTAATTCGTCGGTTAGCTCTCCTTCTAGTTGTATTTTGGCCGTCCTCTTCTGTAAGAAGTCCTTGATGTAGTTGAATGTTCTCTCGCCCAGGTTGAGTGCAGACACTTGTCGTAGGATTGCGACGTGAGAGACTCGATCAAAGGCCTTTCTAAGGTCGAGTGCAGCTAGTGCTGTCCATTTCTACTTGTGTATACCTTCCTTGAGTTGGAGAAGCACATCTTGCGTGGATAGCTGTTTTCTAAATCCAAACATGTGCTCCGTGAATAGGTTGTGTTCTTCCATGTACTCTTGAATCCTTGTTTGTATGATGCGTTCTAGTACCTTACCCACGCACGAGGTGAGTGAGATTGGTCTTAGATTGTCGAGGGTCAGAGGCTTGCCGGGCTTGGGGATGGAACACACCGTCGCGTGTTTGAAGTCCTTTGGAATGACCCCTGACGTCCAGATTTCGTTAAGGTAATTAGTGAGGCACCGCACTGAATTGTCGTCCAGGTTCTTTAGCATTCTGTTGTTGACTTTGTCTTCTCCAGGGGCAAAGGCAACCTTGAGTTTAGCTAGTGCCCGTCTTATTTCATGTTCCTTGATTGGAGCGTCTAATAACGGGTTGCTGTTTCCTGAGTAGCTTACGTCATTTGCCCCTGCTTCCGGTGGAGCGTCTAGGTATCTCGCGTAAAGGTCGGCAATGAGGTCTTCCGTGTTTCCCACATAGTCTCTCATTAACTTGATGAGAAGTTTTTGCGTTTCCGGCTTGGTGTTTTCCGGGGCCAGTATCTTGCGAAACAGCCCAGAGAGAACACAAAGTCCTGAGGATATCCCCATAATATCCCGATGTCCCGGCCGGGAGGAACTAATTCTGGGGATATCCCTGGGACTGCAATCCTCAGGATATCCTGTAGCGGGCATGTGTGGGAGATCATGTTACATGTCATCGTCCTGGGGACATCCGTCGGATTATGCACCCCAGTATATCCTGTCCGGGAAGAGTTTGTAAGATTCCCCTGCTGATTCAACCAGTAGAATACGAAACTAAACCCACAAAAATTTAAATATAAATAAATAATTAAATAATTTTAACTGTAATCTTATTATTATAAATGTACTTTAATATCATTTTTAATGATTATAGAGCTTCAAATTGAATACGAAATCTTGGCGGTACTAGTATCGGCTATAGGCAACTTCGCGCGTGCGCAGTTTGTACGGTTTGACCATTTGGCGCGATTCCGTGGTCCATCAGAAGAAACAAGAACTCGTTTTCGTCTTGAAATCATCAAGGCCTGACAGGTAAGCACACTTTTTCTTACTTTATAAGTTCCGCAGTGTCACATAAACTGTTCCTGAACGCTTCGTGCGTAACCCTGTGATCGATCTTGATCGCGGTTTTGAGTGATCCGGGCGCATTGTTTGGTTTTGGTAGTTACAGGTGTGGTCGCGCGCTGTCATACCTAAATACAAGACATCCCGGACGTTTCGGCGGAAACTACGGGAAAGTGTGGAAATGTATCTACGGTTGGCAGGCACGGCCGTCGATTTGGTGTGCGATTCCGGTCCCGCAGTTTACTGTGAGGCTGCGGTGGCGGGCGAGTCAGACGGGTCGTCCGGCAGTGAGGGACCCAGCTCCGGCGTACGTTTTTCTGCTGCCACCGAACGCGACGCAGAGAGTCAGGAAACAGTCTTGAACACCAGTCCTTCCTCATAAGCTAATGTCAGATGAGGTGGCAGTTGAATTTAGCTTTCAGGGAGGCAAAAGGAAGAGGAAGTTTTGTAACCTTCGGAGCTGGACAGTTCTGCTTGGTATGTAACTTTGCTTACTTCTCACTATAGAGTCTTGCAACCGACTGAGAGTAATTTGGTGCTGAACACTGCAAACATGTCTATACTAGTTTGGGCATCGAATGTACTAAAATTTGTCACAGTAACAGCAAAAGCTAATCAACTGGAAAATTTAACTCAATCTGAACATTTACTCTTCCGATAAATTACTGTAGGGACTGTGAACTAGTGACCTTGCACACTTTCCTGCATCAACGGGTATTAATATTTGAGGCATAGTTGAGAAAGAATAATATTTCTTTGGGGTGATGCTACTTACAACAGCACATATGCAAGCACTCGTTTTAGATGGCAAATAATTTTTTCGCCTCCGCTGATTTTTGCGTAATAAACTTTTCACATTTTCTGTGTATTACTAGAGGAATTCAACCTGTTCAATTCAACCAATTAAAGATAAAAAAGATATGGCACTTGTAGGTCACTTTTGGAAAAAAAATTGGCAGTTTGGCGCCAACTACAAATTCGTTTCGCGCCCTAAATATAGCTCTAAATATTTTTTTCTTCTTTGTAAATTCGTTTTGTAATATTTTTCCATCTAGCCTGTTTAAAAAAAAAAAGTTTTCCTTTGCATGGTGTCCTCCAAGGGGTTAAAACTAAGAAGCCTGATAATCACAACATCTCGACCTAAGGAGTCGTCGGTGGCTACTGCAGCAGGAGGCGTCGAGATACTCTAGCTGCCTGTAGCAGCACATTATTTCTTGATCCCATGCTCGCAGTAAAGCCGAGTTACACTGACATCATAGATATTCAGGTCTTCTCGAATTTTTTTGCCCAGTGGTTTTTAGACAACCCAAGTTTGCTGGATGCAGAGTGGATCTTTATAAAATAATACTTTTATTGCCTAT